ACACACACACACACACACACAAACACACACACACACACACACACACATGCAGGCTTACAGTCATAGGCATAATATAAATGAACAGAAATATAAACAATAATAATTCTTAAGCTAGATACATACTCAGTATTCTGACTGCAACTCAATGTTATTCTAATGCATGCTCTGAAGCCATATGAATACTTGTAACAAAAATCATAAATGGTTAAGATGGAAGGATTTTGATGGATGATGGTAAAAATGACCTTCTGTATCTTTCTTTGTTACAGATCAGAAGCCTTAGAATTTTACTTTTGACTGATGTTTTTATTTGAGGGAAGAAGGGATGTTTATTGTCGAAAAAGAAGGAACTATTTTTAAAGTGCAGGCTGTATTGTACAACTCATCCAAGTAGAGGGAAGTAGATATTAAAATTATCCATGATTTCCATGTCAATCGATATAATTTTTCTTTATCTTTTTGTCTAGTGTTCCCGCCCATGCTGTTATAAAGAAATTGATCATACTTTCAATGGTTGAATGATAGAATACGGAAATCAAAGTTTTATCAACTTTAAAACAAACAAACAAACAAACAAACAATAAAACAAAAGTTGCAATTCTATTTTCGTGTAACACCAACAAACATTGCTCAGTTTTGTAAATTTTTGCAACAAGTTCATTTGCAGCCCTCTCTTCATGTTCAGAAACATATTATATTGTAAACTTGGTTCTCAGTACGCAAAAATACATTGAGCACACGGATTCAATGAACAGTCATGGTGATTTCAAGACAAAACTGATCTGATTAAATTAATGTGAGTAAGATACGACAAACATTGTTTGGAAGAATATTTTGTTGTCGACGAAGAATAAAGAAAACAGTTGATGTTTCCAAAATGCATAATCAGTAACACCTATGGAGAGAGAGAGAGGGAGAGAGAGAGAGAGAGAGAGAGAGAGAGAGAGAGAGAGAGAGAGAGAGAGAGAGAGAGAGAGAGAGAGAGAGAGGGGGTAGTTTTCTTGATTGGGGGTAAATAGAATCTAATGATACGACTGATACTAATACTGATAATAATAATAATGTTGATGGTGATAAAAATACAATGATAAAAATGATAACTTCTATAGCGCCCTCTTCCTAGTAGCTCAAGGCGCTTCACAATAAAATTATAAGATTTCAACAGCTTACACAATTACATGTTTCATGAATACTGGCCATACAACAGTACACATCACGCATCTGTGATATAACTATACGGTTAAAACACGTTTATGTTAATGATCAAGACAAAAAGTATAATAATGATGATAATAATATGTTCTTGAGTCCTATATTAAGTTAATTGGACCTTAAAGTTTCTGAAAATTTCTTTGGAAGAAAAAGCAACACAGTTTACCCGAGGAGCATTTATTACACAGAATACTTTGAGGTCGCAGAACCTTTGAAAAACAATCCACATTTTGAGATGCAAGGGAAACTACTGTATAAAGTATTTCCCGAAAGGATAATATTACATAAGTACACAAACTAAAGTGACAGACATGTAAGGAGTAATGACGAAGGAAAAAAGGAGGAAAAGGAGAGAGGGTGTGGGGGTGAACAATTGATAACTGGGGCTTAACAAAAGAGACATGAATGAATTGAGGGAGGTGAGCAACGCAAAATGGAACACTCTAACAATCTGGAAATGGAGGAATATTGAAAAAAAAACAACGACAAAGGAATAAAAGGGCAGCATAGGAGGGTGAAAAGGGAAAATAGATGAAAAAGAGGGGAAGGGAAACAAGCTGGAAATATTGAAGCTTGGGACGAGGGTATACAAGAGAGATTTAGGAG